TATATTTATTAAATTTCTTCAAAATTGTATTTTGAACGAATGCTCAAACTTCGTGTCCTCGTCCCAGATTGAGAAGAGACTGGGAACGAAGTTGCGAATGCCCATCATTTTGGGCTTGAAGAAATCTTTAAAACACTTTCCAAGTTACTGCTATTTACCAAAACAGTGAAGCTTTGGTTTAAATAATTCAGTACAAAAATATTTCAATAAACGTATATTTAAATACAATTAAGACAGTCAACAGATATGAAGCATATCACGACCGACAAAAGTGGCAGAGTCTTTTAATTTGCGCCTGAAGCCTGTACGTCAGTCTTGCTGTCGCTGGCAGAGGCTCTGCTATCTTGCACTGCATCCAAAAGTGATGGCGCCTCCTTATCTGCGTTAAAAAGAAGTTGAACAAATTATTAATATTATGTACTTTATCTTAAAGGCGAAGTACAACTTGCCTGAGTATCGAGCCCTGCTTTCCCTTCCTTAGATATGGGTGGATAGAAGGAAAAGAAGACCTGACACAAATCCCTGTTTGACTGTAAAAAAGTCAAAATCTGACTTTTCACTCGATTGGTCCTTTCTCCTCATTGGCATATCTATCAAAAATTTTAATCAGTTTTCTGATTGGTTGGTGCTAATTAGATTATACTACCATTCATGATATTTTTAGCAGTGTTAACTATCAGTTAAATTCTTGTTGTTATATTGTGTGAAATTGATATTGATATTCATATTGTTCGATTTTTTATAGTCCGATTTGTTTCGTGTGCAGTGTGATTTGGTTTTTATTGATTATATCAACCAATCAGAAGTCATGCTGTGATCATATGTTCTGAGAATCGCACACGGTAATCTTGACACTGCCGCCGGTTTCGTTCAATTCATAATCGGTGTCATCGCTTGGCTGGTAAACCGTCTCATAAATCGGCCAACCAAAATCGCATCGCGTTCTCCAGTCTTTGCCAATTTGCGTGTGAAAAAATGGAACCTGAAGAATTTGCGCAAAGGCGTGGATCATGACGTTTGCCAGCTCGTTGTGGTACGCGCAAATGCGGCAGTTTATTATATAGGTAGCCAGTTTATTTCTAACCCACCATTCGGAATCGTTTAATTTCCGTGGTCAGGGGCCGATTGTTCAAAACTGGGTTATCGCTAACCCTGGGTTAAAACTTAACCTGAAATTGCTGTGCTGAGTGGTTATATTACTACTTGACATAAACAAGCAGAAACTCGACGTTTCGAGCAAAGGCCCTTCGTCAAGAGTTAGTAGTTAGTTAGGTTAGTTCCTGCTACAAACTCTTGACGAAGGGCTTTCGCTCGAAACTTTGAGTTTCTGCTTGTTTATTTCAGGTAGTAATATAATCACTCAGCACATGAATTTCACATTGGTCCTACCCACACTGGTACAGACAGTTTTAAAATTTAACCTGCTGTTTTAGTGTGTATATTTCTACACGTCCGGTTTATTTCAAAATGTCAGAGAAGTAAACTACTATCAATCCAAACAAGATCTGTGAAGGAATATTTCCTAATTTATAGACAAGCTGTCAGGAAGTTTGCTTTGAATTTTACGTTAACCAAGGGTTAACTAATCCAGCTTTGAACAACCGGCCCCAATTGCTACATGCCCCTTGACTTAAATCCAAGCAATTGCAAATGTTTGGGTGGAAAACTGCACAGTGCACACCTCCCACCCTTTGCACCTAACCATCCACACGGGTAAGTTGGGTAAATCATGGTATTAAACTTTCTAACCTACTAACTTACCATTTTGCCTCAGCATATTAAAACCCCTCGAATACAATTCCAACGCGTGCGAGTGGTACTTCAGCTCACTTTCAGTGAACGCAAGCAGGACAGCACGCAATTCGTCGACACGTTGTTTATCAAATGATTCCAATTCCTCTTTTAAACAATGAAATGCCTTTTCCGTTTCGACGACGGACGCGAGAAGCGTGGACTGTGCTTTTGAAAACTTCTGTTTGTCCAAAGGCTCTGTCTCTTTTATCTTTTTCAGATGCTTCTCCTTTCGCATTTCATCTTTTTGCGACTTTAGAGCAAAGTCGATATTAAAAGTAGCTTGCTTACACCGACAACGCGACAGCGATAATTCCCCGATAACCTTATCATAAATCATACAAACGTGCTTCTCTTTATACTTGCCGACGTCGAATAAAATTTCTGAGAATTTTTCTAGCGTTTCCCGGAATTTTCCTTTCTCGCCTTCGAAAATCTTCTCGATGCTGTTTCCCACTTCGTCGTTGCGCTTTTTACTTTTGCTTAGGGTTGATGAATATTTTTCGATATTCTTTTTCAGCATTGATATTTCCTTCTCAAGCTTTTTTATGTTTTCTTGTTGCGCTATTATCAATTCATCGTATTTGTTCTGCTTTTCTTTTGTATTTGCGGTGTCTTTTTCACTCATATTTGAATGAATACGTAATTTAAAATACACAGCAGCTCACTGGCTGGTTAATGTTCAAAATATGAAGTGTTGGTTTGGAAGAAATTGACGCGCGTGCGTGCGTCCTTTTTCAGACGCTGTTAATTATGACGTCATATAATGGCTACACTGACCTGTATATGTGACTGGAATTATAGAGATCACAGGTCGATTGTATAAACAGGGTGCTAAATTTATAGATATAGCGGAATGACGTACTTGATCACGAATCATGTCTTCGCTTTTTCTCGTGCGTGCCCTTATAAATCCGCCAAGTTTAATTTGACTAGGAGTGAGAATTATAAAGTTTCAACAAAGCTAAAACTAAGTTTTCATTGTCGAAAGTTTTGTATCTATTATTTCTACGACTTAACTACAGTTTAACAGTTGATGAAAAAGTTAACCAATCAAAACCGCGTATTTTGGAGTTAAAGATCGGATCGAGTATGTTCTGCGCATGTGGTATGTGAGGACCCTCTGGTGTAAACAGTACCCAAATTTTGCGTTGTTTCTACATCTTCTAAATTGAAACTCTAATGTATATCCATTTAAAAGCATGGTGAAACCAGAAAGGTGTTGGGCATTAACTAAGTACATCATGTTTTGTAAATATAGTGAGCTCAAAATGTAAACAAAACCAAAAGGACTTGACCCCTGATTTAAAAGTAGTTAAGAATTTTATACAACCGATCGTAGAAGATTCACTGACGATAAGAATCGAACAACATATCACTACATAGGAAGATACTATAATTGTCCACACGCATTTTATTGAAATTGTTTACGTTAATTAATACTGTTCAAAAAGTTATATCGCTTTGTTATTCAAGTCGTATTCGCATCTTCAATCCTTTGCTGTTTTTTCTTGTAATGTCTATGTGATCGGGAACGTAGATGTGCCGACCAGTTCTGATCTCCGATAATGATTCTACCATTACATACAGTGCACGTGTAATTCGAATGTTTGGCTACAGTACTGGTTAAAATGCGCTCTAAAGGCGTGTGGGTAACTTTTTCTCCTCTTGTAAATGATTTCACGATGTCTACAGCTTTTTCAAACACATTGGATTCCCACTGCCCAAGGTCTGTCGCATCCAAGCTGTAGACATCTGGGGATGAGGTAGAGGGCCGACCAAGGAATCTGTTGTTCACCCAACGAACTTGCTTCCTTGCATAACGACGGGTGGCACATTTCATAGCCTGGACACATTTTTGAAACAAATCCGGATTTTCGTCCACTTTGGAATTCTCAAGATTCAGAAATTCTCTGAATTCTTTGAATCCGATCGATTGAAAGATTCCTTCATTGTTTTGTATTTTGGAATTGCTGCATCCACTTTTCCAAGAATTGTGGAATTCTATCAGCTCATCGACTAAACCATGCTCGATCATCTGATCAACTCTGGCGTCAAGCCTCTTATCAAGGGTTTCAAACTCACATTGGAGCCATAGCACACAAACATTATTAAACCTCATTGGTCCGCTGTACTCACTGGAACCCTCCTGTGATTGCTGTTGTGCTACGTGCTCACTGTGAGTAATGCCAGACCGCTCATAAACTTGCAAGCTTCTCTTGATTTTTCTTGTATCATTCGGGTGAAGCTTTTGTGCCATTGCAGAATCAACTTTTGCAAGCTGTTGATGCAATGAATTTTGAATTTCGGTATCTTCATGATTTTCAGTGTACATAGATTCCTGTACTGGGGACGTGTTTGCAGAACAGTCTAGACTTTCAGTGTGTATGGCTTCTCCTTTAACAGACGTTTCCAAACTGCCTAATTCAGCACTTTTGACTTTTTGTTTGGCATTGTTTCTTTCACACTGAACAAGTGTGTTCTCAGCGACAGAGTCTTTTTCGCGTGCACTGTCATCATCGTTGCGTTCTTCATTTTCATCGTTCCGTGTTCTCGAATTGTTCCCATCTTCCACATCACCTTGGAAGTTCTCGTATTCAGCAGTAGCGCTTTCTGCGTTTGCGTCGCGCGTTCCGTCATCTTCATTCCGTTTTTCGTTTTCAGCTTTCCGTGATTGTGAGTTTACGTTTTCGCCTTCTCAACGAACGTGTTTTGCGTGTTTGCTTCGCGTGCAGGGTCAGCTTCCTTACGTTCTTCGTTTTCAACTTTCCGAAATTTCGACCGAATTTCCCCAGCTCGCGCTCTCCCCTCGTCAATCAAATTTTCCCACAATAAAGATTCGATATAATAGTTCGTCCCCCCGACAATAATCGGTACTTTTTGCCGGGTAATGATATCCGAAATCACATCTAATGCAATAGTTTTGAATTCAACGACCGAGAACTTCTCGTTGGTTTCGACAAAGTCTAGTAAATGATGTGGAATAATCGTTTGCTCCTCGAGAGTAACTTTGTTCGTGATAATATCTAAGCCTTTATAAACTTGCATGGAGTCCGCGCTTATTATTTCTCCCTCAATTCTTCTACCGATTTCTATTGATAGTTTTGACTTTCCTGTTCCCGTGCAACCGAGAATAACGATAATAAGTGGTTCCGTTTCACTCCTGCTGGCCGCCATTTTGTTTTCCAAAATTGATGACTGAAATAGAATAGAAGTTCGGGAAGCAAGTGGAAACACACCAAGAATGGAAAATTGCGGCAAAAGAAAGCGTGTTGGTTTGAGTTTAAAATCATTTAAAAAACCCGCTTTAAATTATATTATTAAATTATATTCATTATAAAATTATATTGTGGAAAATGTTTCGCCGAAGCGCCTACAAGTGAAGGCAAATCAAATTGTAGCCTTGAGAAGGTAGATTTGACAAGTCAGGAGCAAATTGAGACTTCTGAGACTGAAATATAGGTGAGTCAGTCAGTTGAATATAAATATTGTAAATTTGTAATAAGTAATAAGAGTAAGACTGATCAGAGGCGTCAGAGTGGCTCTAAAAGTGGGGGGGGGGGACACTTAGTGCCCGCTAAAGGCGGGTGACATTCTAGGCGGGTCCGGGGGCATGCTCATAGCCTTTGTAGGAAAAATTTTGTAACTGGAGTCTCTGAAATGCCATTTCCTGCACTTTAGAAAGAGATTTACTCATTTACAGAGTTCTAAAGGTAACAAAATGTCATAAAATATCTCAAATTGTTTTGTCTACATGTGTAACTTGAAATAATATCAATTAACTTTGTGGTTTAGTTATTATTGACCATTGTTAAAAAGTGGGGGGAGGGGGGGGGGGGGCAAAGACATTTAGCCCCCCACTTCTGACGCCCCGGACACTGATATTAATTAAACTATAAATCTGTTACTCGGGTTCTTTGTTATACTTAATGGTTGGTAGGAAATGGTAATAATGGGTATTGAGGCGGCTTCCTGAAAAGCCATGCGGGTGGGGGATCAGACACTAATATGCAACAAATAGTGGTCTAAAATTAATAAGTTCAATTTAGTATGCAGCCCAAAAGCCCATCATTGTACAATGAAGTACTCTTGGATAATGTAATCTGAATACATATGAAGACGAAGAAGTGGTATTTATCAGTCAAAGAAGCGACGAGCCATTGCAATGGTGCCATATTTCATGAAATATCAAAGGACACAACATTGAAGATAAAATACACTGCACTGCTTCAAAACTTGATGAAACTTGGTTGAAATATTCTTTAGCCATTTATCATTATGTTAAAGTACAACAACTGGATGATATTTGCGAGATTCGGCGGTAAAAAGCAAACAAGACGGCAAAATATGCATGCATTGAAATTATATTTAAAGAAATATATTTGAAGAAAACAATGACAATTATATTTATTATTATATTTAAATTATATTTTATTATTATATTTAAAATATATATAGAAAACAATGACAATCCTTATGAAATCCACAATAATTGTGTTAAATTAAGCATTGTTTTTCATCCCATGATAATATTTTTTAGGAAATAAGAAAATTTAATCTCTGCCAGGCATATTAGTTATTTTATGCATAATTAGCAATTTACCTGGGGTGGTGCATGGTCATTTTCTTGTAATAATATTCTACTTAGACACATTTTTCCTTCCAATGACCACCCACTATAGGCAGTTCAGAAAGGCTATCGTTTTTCCTTTTCGGAAGTTAGAGCTATGTCGACACTGCCGTTTCAGGGCGGGGTCATTTTCAGGACTTTCGTCCCGGATTCAGGTTTTAGCACATTCAGGTTTTGGCACAAATATTTATAGTTCAAATTGAAGTTTACAATTCGAATTCAATGGAAAGTTCTTGTCTAGTGGTCTCCCAGGAGGGTTTGTATTTCATTGAATTGGTTATTGTTGAGCTATGAACATTTGTTTAGAAACGAAATTCAAACGTTAACATTGAAATTGCGAACTTCGTTGCGAAGTTCACGCCGAATTTTTGATCTTGGGAACGTAGTTATAGTAAGTTCGCAACGATGCATGACATATTTACAGCACGTCAAACAACCAAATAAACACATATTTTGGATAATTTGCTGATAATATGGTGACTGGTTATAATATTGGATAACATAGAAAGATCAGATTATGCAAGTATCAGGGCAGTACAAGTGTCAGACAAAAGTTTTAGTGGTAATGACATGATCGATTGGACGAGTTGCGCATGCTTTATCAAGCCGTAGATCAGTTCATATTCTATGATGCTAGGAAGGAGCGAGACAGTGTTGTTTTCAAATGTATAAACATTTCAGACGTGAATATTGAGTAAATCTTTGAGAACCTACGCAATATATAAATTGATGTTATGCATTACGGGCATTCAGTTAAGTGCCGATGTTATTTTGACGGTATATTCATTATACAGAGCTAGGAAGGAGCGAGACAGTGTTGTTTTCAAATGTAAACATTTCAGACGTGAATATTGAGAACACCTGTGAGATTCTACGAAAATAATTCCGTTATATGCATTACGGGCATTCAATTAAGTGCCGATATTATTTTGACGATATATTCATTATACATAGCTAGGAAGGAGCGAGACTGTGTAGTTGGATCCCTAGTTTAATTC